TCTTTCTTTCTTTCTTTCTTTCTTTCTTTCTTTCTTTCTTTCTTTCTTTCTTTCTTTCTTAAAAATGTATCCTTTCTACCTTAATTCTGGACTATTTCAGATTTTCTTGTCTTCCCATCATGATTTTTATGCAGCATCTGGTATCATTTCCTACTATAGAATTTTCACTATGAAATATTTTATTTTAAAGGCAAACTGCTTAAAAGTTGTTCTCTCTGCTCTATCATTAAAAGTGAGTTAGGGTGCAAGATCTCAAAAGAACTCCACTCTGGGTCAGGTAGAAGGGGCTTCTCCATGCACTTCAGAATCTCAAAGGAATCTGACTTCTGATCCCAAACATATTTGTGCCTTCTGCTGATGAACTGTTCCCCCCTCACCGAATTCTAATTTCAACAGAAAACTCAGGTTTTCTTACATCTGTAAATCATATCATTTATTGCTGATGTTAACTTTTTCAGGATTATAGCTATTTCTTTCTCTATTAATACAGGTTTTTTACTACAAATTCAGAGATTTAGGTTTTAATTGGAAATTCACTTCTGTGCTCATACAGACAAAAACTTACATGCATCTTATACTCGCATTCCACATCTCTTTCTTTTTTGAATTGGTGGCATAAGTATGGCATTATCTTACATGTGGTTCTGGGGTATTTTTCTATCAATTGCTATACCTCCTGGTATTGCTGTATCTCTATAGTTATCTGTCTATCTTCTTGTCTAAGGGCCTAATGTGTGTGATGGAGTGTTGGCAGAACATTTGTTCTTAAATTAGACATAGTCTTCCACAAACAACTTAAAAAAAAAGATAAGTGTTTTTCTTTATACAAATAAAAAATACCCCTTTGTGATACATGGCATACTTTCCCTATTCTGTTTATTGTTATTGTTTATTTTCATATGTGCAATGGAATTAGAGGAGCTCTGCCAGGCAATTTCTGTTGCAACAAAGAAATGTGCTCCTCCTATTTAAGTGGAGAGAGGTTCAAAGTCAAGCATGAAGCTGTTTATGTTTTAAAAAAAATAGTTTATCGATTATCAGTAGTTATTCCTTATATGAATCTTAATCCTCCAAATGCATCAAGAAGCTATTTCTACATTAAGGCATCTCTGAAATGCAGCAACAACATGCCTTTAGTTGGTCAGGTCTGGTTTGGATCAGCTAATACACTTTGCAGGGGGGATTATCTAAATTAAGCTTTGCTTCCTCCCCAAGGAACGTCAGGGGTTGTGTCTGGGTGTGGGACTTACCAGCTTTGAGTAAGATGGGACTTCAGCCGCCAAGTCAGTGAGCTGGCCCTTAGGAAGGTCCACCACCACTTTGGCAAAATGAGGAGGAATATTTTATGGTTAGGATTATACTACACAAACATGCTGAGAGGTCCTGCTGATTTACATCCTGACAAATTAAATGCATCACTTGTAGGATTGGAAACGGATTTTTGGCCTCATTAGATTGACTTCTCTATCCCCTACATGGCCAGAAGCACAAAGCAGAAACAGGATTAGCAACATTTGCTCTGCTGTTTGTTTTCCTGACAGTCCAGAGGGAGTCATTCTAAAAAGCTTCCAGTTTGTTCTCTTTAGGCAATATGTTTTTCTTTCGTTGGATGCTACCCGAATCTTAAAACCTGGTTTTGTTTCTTACCTCAAAGAAACAATTCTTGGGAGTAAGGAATCTGTAACTCACCCATATAATTGGAATTACATAACCAAGAACCTAAGTATATGGGAAACATTAATATTTTACCTTGCCCACAAAGGGAGTGATATGAGCACAAAGTAGGACACAAAATGTAAACTTTTACTAGTTTCCTCCAGTATGTTTCCTACTGCTTTCTAAAACAGTGGAAAAGAGGTGTACAGGTTATGATGACCTAATGCAGTTTCCTTCAGTTGAACCAAATATGAGACTGGATCTGTTAGTCAAAAGGTTTGGTCAATGGCCAGTTTTCCCAGCACCTGCCCATGTCTGACTTAACCCCAACATTTTGCAAGGTGGAAGCACAGTCAGGCAAAAGAATATTACAGAAGGAGCCCTTCTGCCTCACCAGGGTATACAGTAAGGGAAATCAACACTCCATGTATACAAAGACGGAGTACATGGCCTTTCTTGATTGTGCTGAATATGCAGAGGGAAGATTAAGGAAGTCTTCAGTAAGACCATTCAGAGTGAACTGAAACAAGACATGCGATGGCCATTCCTACATAGTTTGAGCAATACTAGCTGCTGCCTAGCTACTACTACAAGCAAACCTCTGTGCCAGGTGCTTTAACTTACTATTTCCAATCCTCCAACCAATCCTGCAAAGTATGTATTATTATTTCTATTTTACACATAAAAAAAGCCCTGAGGCTCGCAGAAATCAAGTAAGTTGCTTATGACCAAACAGCTAAGGATGTGGCAAAATTAGGGTTCAAGTTCATGATGATTCTCTGCCTTAATTATTATAAAAATATTTTTGCA